TGCTTATGTGGTGCTGAGGAATCGAACCCAGGGCCTCAGGCATGCAAGGCAAGCGCTCTACCACTGAGCCAACTTCCCAGCCCTTTCATGGATTTTTTTTTTGTCTCCAGCTCTAGTAGAAATTCTTGAACCTAAGTGAGAGTTACATTCTGGGATAAGTGATGGGAGGCAAAATATGGAGCTAAGGGGTAGGGACTTCTTCCTACTAATTGTACCTTTATGTCAACAAGTGCTCAGCTCTTTCTCTTTCTCTCCTCTGAGGTGGAGGTGGAGCTGGATCATAATGGCAGTGTGGCAAGCTAGTTGGCAGAGTTAGGCTATACAGATCTCCATCAGCAAGCTAGCTCTAAGAGGCTCCTAGGCTGAGGACAAATATCTCTGTTTATCCAAGAGATCTGAAGATATTTGTCCAGAGAAGAAATACATGTTTGCTATCAGTTTGGAGTTGACCTTCCTGGGAACTTTGCTCATGACTGGTTTGTAATCGAAGCATTCTGTTCTGTTTAAGGTGTCCATCCTCCTCTGCTCATGGTTTCCAATTCCAGGAAGATGATCCCATGGAAGAAACTGTGTGGGCGCTATCACATGTGGGCCATGGGCTTTTATATGCTGTTGGCCATCGTTGCTCTGAAACTTTCTCTCAGATTAAGGTGTGATTTGGACTTCAGAGAATTTCAGAGCCAGGACTGCAAGGATATCTTGTACAAGTCCCTGAAGCTCCCAGCAAAGAGTTCCATCAACTGTTCAGGAATCACTCGAGGGGACCAGGAGGCAGTGATCCAAGCTGTTCTGAACAATCTGGAAATCAAGAAGAAGCGGGAGCCTTTTACAGATGAGGACTACATTGCTGGGACCAGAAACTGTGAGCTCTTTAAGACTGAAAGGAAATTCATCCAGTTCCCACTGAGCAAAGAAGAGTTAAACTTCCCTATTGCATACTCGATGGTGGTTCATGAGAAGATTGAAAACTTCGAAAGGCTGCTGAGAGCTGTGTATGCCCCTCAGAACATATACTGTATCCATGTGGATCTGAAGTCTCCAGAGAGTTTCCAAATGGCAGTGAGGGCCATTGCTTCATGCTTCCAAAATGTCTTCATAGCCAGTAAGCTGGTTCCAGTGATTTATGCCTCATGGTCCAGAGTGCAAGCTGACCTGAACTGCATGAAAGACTTGCTCCAGAGCCCAGTGCCTTGGAAATATTTCCTGAATACATGTGGGACAGACTTTCCTATAAAGACCAATGCTGAGATGATCCAGGCCCTGAAGCTTTTGAATGGGAAAAACAGTATGGAGTCAGAGGTACCTCCTGAGCACAAAAAAATCCGCTGGAAATACCATTTTCAGGTGAGAGACAAGATGCAGATAACCATGGAGAGGAAGATCCCTCCTCCCAATAATGTAACTATATTCTCTGGGAATGCGTATATGGTGGCTTCTCGAGACTTTGTTCAGCATGTCTTAAATAACAAAAAATCCCAACAACTGATAGAATGGGCTAAGGACACCTACAGCCCTGATGAATTCCTCTGGGCCACCCTTCAGCGGGCCTCCTGGATGCCCGGCTCAGTTCCCCCTCACCACAAGTATGATATCTCAGACATGAATGCCATTGCCAGGCTGGTCAAGTGGCAGGAACATGAGGGTGATATCAATGAAGGGGCACCTTACCAGCCTTGCACGGGGGTCTACCAGCGGACTATCTGTATTTATGGGACTGGGGACCTGTATTGGATGCTCCAAAACCATCATTTGTTGGCCAACAAGTTTGACCCAAAGGTGGATGATAATATTCTCCAGTGTTTAGAAGAGTACCTACGTCATAAAGCCATCTACGGGACTGAACTCTGAGACACTCTATGATGGAGAGAGCGCTACCCGCTGTGGCAGGAGCCCATAGACGCATTCCAGGAACTTCCGGAATAGTGTAGGGGTGGGAGACCAGGCTACTGGAATCTATGGCACCCCTTAGGGTAAAAGGGGACGGCTATTGGAGGATGGGTAAATTGTCTTATAAATTGCTAACCTGGGTGAATATTGCCTATTCTTCTACCTCTATCTCCAGTAGCATCTCTTCTGGCTTTTGGGACAGTAAGGGTGGGACGTGTAGCAGGAACCCTGTGTTTTGGCTGAAACCATAGTATTACGTTTTCAACTTTATGGAGATACTGTTTCTAATCATCTAAGTTTGGTAGTGATGGAAAGAGAGCCTTCGCTTTGTACTATTAACTTGAAAAGAAGTAGCTCCAGATTCAACATCCCCTACCTCTGTTTTGTTTAATAAAGCAGAAATAATACGAACAGATGAAATGTGTGACCCTTTTGTTCCTAACTATTGGTGACATTGAACAATGTCTTATTTAAATGTCTCAGATTGAAAAAAAGATTAGAAAGAACAGAGCTGACTTTTCATGAAGGGAGCTCTCATTATGTTTACAGTGCATCAGACTTATGTCTTGTCTGTAAGGGACAAGGCAGGATGACTTAAGCCAGTTTTACCACCTGTATCCTTATTGGAAAATTATGACACTCATTTTGTCAGCTTCTCAGGCAAAGCTTAATTTCTCTAATGTACAGTTGCCATTTAGATAAGGTCATATTTATTATGCAAACTGGAACAGGTTTTCGTAGGGGGAGAGGCTGCAGTGCTGGTAATTATATGGAGGAAAAAGAAACCATGGCTATCTAGCTAACCCAGGATGTCTAATTATTCTGTCTTTAAGCCTCATGAGTCAAAGTTGCCTTATTTCATCATGGGAATGGAAGGGTTCACTATATGTGATTCTTCAGATTCTTGTGGTAGACAATACTGAATTTACATATGTAAATATGTATGTGTAAATATGTACATATAAATATGCAATGGCACGCATATATTCCCCAATTCCCAGCTGTTAGAGGAACAGATTCCTCTCTGAAGTTCCAGAGATAATTGTTGGCCACTGTGTAGCGTTCTGAAATGGGCAAAACATGGTATGTACTGACTTTAGTGATAAAAGTATAGCTGATCTTTTGCATGTAATATGCTTTGGAAATGTGATTTATGTATGAGTTAACTAGAAGAATCTGACATTCACTTCGATGTGTCATGAGGTGGTTCATGTGTGTTTTCATTTCTGATTTTGATTCTTTCTTTTTTTTTGGGGGGGGGTCCTGTCTTGGGGCTTGACTTTGGGCCTGGGCACTGTCCCTCAGCTCTTCAGCTCAAGGCTAGCGCTCTACCACTTGAGCCACAGCGCCACTTCTGGCTTTTTTCTTTTTGCTTATGTGGTGCTGAGGAATTGAACCCAGGGCCTCAGGCATACAAGGCAAGAGCTCTACCACTGAGCCACCTTCCCAGCCCCATGATTTTGATTCTTTTAGCCATGTTTCTTCTGAGCAATCTACTTTCTCTGTTGTCCATGTCTCTCACATGTTCTGTGTGTGAAAATGAATGGATTTTCTAGTTATAAGTTAGTGATTCCTTTGTGTAAGGTGGTACTGTTGTGACTAACTCATGCAGTACTGAGTCTTTTTCACTTCACTCCAGCCTTGTCATAGGGTGACTGATGAATAGTTTAACGCCCCCCCCCCCCGCCGGCTATCCCTCCCTCCCATCCCTGCCCGGGCCAGGAAGAGAGGAATTGAGCTGAAGCATCTGTGATGTACATGTGTTGAAACAAGAACTCAGGTCTTAGACCTCATGGTCAATTTGCTCTAAAAGCTTATATGAAATACTATAATTTCTCATACAAATACATTTAGGAGATCAGTGTGTGAAAGTGCTATTTTGGGGAAAATAAGTTGCCGGATTTTTTTTCAAGCCTCTAGAAATGTATTCAGGTAGGCAGAGAGTGTTCTTTAATCTATTAACCTAAGGTCTTCATATCAGAAGGCTGAGATTTCCCTTGTTTAATGTATTTTGGAATTCAGTTAAACCAGCACATGTTGATATTTCCTTCCCTATGAGACATATCTGCCTTTAACCTTTTCCTGGAAAGAAAAACAATTTTTTTTTGTATTTGTTTATCTGCTTATGTGGTGCTGAGGAATTGACCAGGGCCTCATGCATGCAAGGCAAGCGCTCTACCACTGAGCCACCTTCCCAGCCCAAGAAAAAAAATCTTATACATGAATTGACTAACTATGTATTACCTTTGGTGGTTTAACTTTCCTCACCTTTGATTTGTGGGCTATTATTGAACTTTACTTTAATAACTATATTTTTGTTGCACATTCTGTTCTTTGTTTTTCTCTTGGTTAAGTGAAAAAATTTTAAAGCAGAGGAAGATAAGGCAATTAAAGTTGAGTACATACAATTTAGAAAAATCAAGTACTTCATTTAAAAATGAGACTAATAGATTGTCTGCTGTTCTAAATACCTTAATGCACTCCAAGATTCATTCTTACCTCCTCCATTTAGTTATTATGAAGTGGTTTTTGCCTTTTTGAAGTTTGTGTACTGATAAGCAATACAATAAACTCATTCATTTTTTTGTGAACATACTGTACAGAGGGGTTACAATTATATGGGCAAGATAATGAGTACATTTCTTATCAAGCATTGTAGCCTCCTCCTTTGTTTACCCTTCACATCCCTTCCCAGCCTCCCCCACCCCCTTAAACTCATTCGTTTATTCTACAATGTGAATTGAGCTCTTACTATTGTCATACACTGTTCTTGACACTAGGAACAGAGTAATCAATAAAGCATGATCGCTCCTGTTAGTCATAGGCTAACTATAAACAGATTACAAGTAATTATTAGAAGGAGCCAAGTGCTAGAAAGAAATTGAAGGAACTGATAGAGACTTTGGAAAGGTGGGGAGAAGGGATCCTTAAAATTATAAACATAGTTATCAGGGAGGCCCTTAATAAAAAATATCACATTTGAGTAACCTCTGAAGGAGAGAGGGAAGAATGATCTATGAAGATGAATGAGGGAAGAGTATTTTTTTTGTCCGGTCATGGGGCCTGAACTCTGGGCCTGGGCGCTGTCCCTCAGCTCTTCAGCTCAAGGCTAGCACTCTACCACTTGAACCACAGCGCCACTTCTGGCTTTTTTCTTTTTGCTTATAGGGCGCTGAGGAATTGAACCCAGGACCTCATGCATGCAAGGCAAGCGCTCTACTGCTTGCCACCTTCCCAGCCCCAGAGGGAAGAGCATTTTAAGCCAAGAGGAAAGACATCCAGGGTTCTAAAGAAGGAATACACCTGACATATTTCAGTAACATCACATGGATTTTGTTGTCTTCTGTGAGTAAAATGGGAGGCCACTAATGGGTTTGAGCAGAACACTGATCAATGTTTTAATGGAATGACTGTAGTTGCTACACTGACAACAGATTGGTTGGAGGCAAGGCAGAGAACAAGAGCTAGTTAGGAGGTTATGGCCATCATTCAATCACTATGAAATGCTGATTTGGGAATGACAGTACAGCTTGTAAGCAGATTCTGAAAATATGTTTTTAGGTTTTAGGTTAAGAATTTCCTGATAGATTTTTGTTCAGACTGAGGCAGAGGAATCAAAAATCACTCCAAAGGGAATTGCCATGACTTAAATTAGAAATTTTGTGAATCACTTTTTCTTTTCTCTTGGTCCTGGGTCATGAACTCAGGGCCAAGTTTCTTGAGCTTCTGTGCTCTAGGCTAGAGCTCTACCACTCTGAGTCTCAGCTCCACTTCAGGCTTTTGGGGGGTAAATAACTGGAGATAAGAGTCTCATGGGCTTTCTTGCCTGGGCTGGCTTGGATCATTAGATCTCAACTTCATGAGTAGCTAGTGTTACAGGTGGGAGGCACTGGTGCCTGGGTATAAGTGAGTTTTTAATGATTAAAAGTTGGATTTTGAACTTATAAAACTGTCAATGCCAATTAGAATCTAAGCAGAGATATTAAAGACATAAATGTGTACAGGAATTTGTATTTAGGAAATATGTCTGCTTTAGAAATACTTATCTGGTATTTATCAACTTAGATTCATAAAGTCATAAATGATGAGCCGGGCGCAGGTGGCTCACACCTGTAATCCTAGCTTGAGATCAGGAGCTTGAGATCTGAGGATCATGGTTCAAAGCCAGCCCAGGCAGGAAAGTCTTTGAGACTCTTATCTCCAATAAACCACTAGAAAACCAGAAGTGGCGCTATAGCTCAAGCGGTAGAGTGCTCGCCTTGAGCTGAAGAGCGCAGGGACAGTGCCCAAGCCCAGAGTTCAAGCCCCACAACCAACAAAAAAAAAAGTCATAAATGATGAAAACCTGTGCTAGTCTATTTTCTACTCAAGGCTGGAAACCTTTGAGAAAAAGGGTAATTTAGTTCATAGGTTTAGAAGGCAGAAAGTCTTAAGATTGGCTGGCTCCATCATTTTAGTTTCTCTTAAGAACTTCCCACCCCGGCCCCAGCTATGTAAAAATGAGATAGACGGCATCTTGGTGGGAATACAGACACGAGAGGAAGAGGTCACAAGGTAAGACAGCAAGGAAGGGAAGGACCTGTCTTGTTTTTGTATAGCAACCTTCTTGTTAGGAACTAAAGGACATTGCACAAAAAACTACATGAAGTCCTTTCTTCACCCATCTTACCTCCGCTGTGGAGACCATGTGAAAATCTGGGTGTGCCCTCGAACTATATCCAAACTATAGTTAAGTTACAAAGCTCTGCAGAGGTCAGGGAGATGAGGAAGAGAGATCAATAAAAGTGGAAAAAGAGCAGTTGGTGGGGTGGAAGGGAAACCAGTAAAGGTGGTATTGCGATAATCAAGAGGAATAAGTATTTCAGAGGAGGAAGAGTTCATGACTGTACCACAATCATGGCGAGGAGGAAGTGGCTTCTGGAATGAAGAATATAGAGGTGCCCTTGGTAAGATCAGTTTCTGTGAGGTGTGGAGGTGAGAACCAGATGGAAAAATGATTCAAAGAGAATGCTGGTACTTGGGAGGCTGAGGTTGGGAGGATCAAGTTTCAAGGCCAGGCTGGGCAGAAAAGTTTATAAGATCCCTTCTCAACCCAAAGCTGGACACAGTGGCAAGAATGCCTGTTATCCTAAGCCACATGGGAGGCTGAGGTCATGAGGACTGCTGTTCCAGGTCATCCTGGGCAGAA